GGTGATAGATTTATTGAAATTATAATAAATTGTGTACTTTGATTATACTTTTTTTGGTCTTGTAGAAAATACAGTAGGAATTTAGACTTAAATATTCAACACTCATATTATTTGCTACGATTATGTTATAGTAAGATAAATTGATTTTGATAAATTCTAAGATATAGGCATAAATTAAATCTGTCTAATCCCAAATGAATATTRTAGTTTTATAATCTGTTCTGGATTTTTACAAACGAAAAATATGGTAAATCAGAGGTTAAACATAAATTATCTAATATCCTTATTACCTACCTAATTATATACATTATACATAGATATGAAGGTAGGTACTATTACAAAAATTAAATGGGAATTTATTAACCATTTATCATGTTATAATATAATGCTATCAGTTTGATACGTATAAAACGGTAGTCAGTTGGTATGTATGAAAATTCAATAATATCGTCCAATAATTTTGAATTTATATCTATTTAAAATATCAGGTGGCTTGGCGGTTGCTATTCCGGGTGAACTAAAAGGCTATTCAACAATTTATAACATGTACGGTGGCAAAGTTCCATGGAAATCGTTATTTGAGCCAACTATAAAGTTATGTGAAAATGGTATAAAGATCAGTAAACGTCTACAGATAAACATGCAAAATCACGAAGACATGATAAAGAATGACCCATTTCTCAGGCATGACGAAAAAATCTATCACTTTGTTTTATTTTAATATTTTTTCAACTTACGAGAAACTAATTTTCATAATTAAACGGGGATATTGTATTTTAGAGGAGCATTATTCGATGAAAAAACCGGACATGTAAAACAAGTTGGAGAAGAGTACAAGTTACTAAAGTTAGCAGAGACCTTAAAAATCATATCAGATGAAGGTGCCGATGCYATATACAACGGGTCATTAACACATCAATTAGTAGAAGATTTAAAAAAAGTCAACGGTATTATAACTGAAGAAGACCTTGCCAATTATGAGTTAGTACTTACCTACTTTTGAACTATACAAATTACCAAAGAGAATTTTAAATTGATATTGTTTAAAGATAGTCAAGGCATATGTACATTATATTATCATAGTAAAATGACAATAAATAATATACTTAAAATTGGTGACAAACATTTTTAACTTTAATTGTGTATAAACTACAATAATATAATAATATWATAATAATAATAATAATAATAGAATAATAATATGCTGACAGTTAAAAAAATAATTAACATTTAAAAAAAGATCGAATTATACAACTTAATAAAATCTTAGACCATAGTAAAAATCACCATATTTACATTATAATTTTAATTTAAACCTTAATTGTAAGCTAATAAACTTGTTGATGCGGAAACAATAAAAAAAAAAAAAACTACAATACATATTTACAATAGTTAACGCCACTTTTTAGGGTAGAAATTGAAGAATCATTTTCCGTAAATTTAAAAAGTGGACATACAATACATTCGGGGCCACCACCTGGTTCTGGTGTACTCTTAGCCTACATACTCCGAATATTGGATGGATTATTACCAGCACCAAATCCTGGATTAGACGCACATCGATTTGTAGAAGCTTTCAAATTTGCATTTGGCGAAAGAACACATTTAGGTGATCATAATTTCGTGAACGTGTCCAATGTATGTTTTTTGCTGTTAATACTAAATTAACATATTAATGTTCGAATAAACTATATTATTTGTAGATTTATGAAAAAATAAATTCAGATAGTTACATCGATAGTATTCGAAACAAAATAACCGATAGTTTTACTTCGTTGGACCCAAAGTACTATGGTGCTGACTTTGATATGCCAGAGAACCACGGGACTGCTAACATGGTCGTCACCGATTCGTTGGGGAATACTGTCGTGGGAACCAGCACTTTAAATATATAGTGAGTGGAAAATTTGTAATTTATCAAAATGTCGGCTAACAATAAATACCGATAAACTCAGTAACGTTTTAAATTCAAATTTATTTTCAGCTTTGGTTGTGGTTTCGTGTCTCCTAGCACCGGTATTCTTTTAAACAATGAAATGGACGACTTTTCTACTCCCGGAGTAACTAATTATTACGGAATTCCATCTTCACCCGCCAATTTCATTGCACCAGGAAAACGACCAATGTCGTCWATGTGCCCAGCTATAATCACAGATAAAAAAGGAGACTTTGTCCTAGGTGTAGGAGCAGCAGGTGGATCGAAGATCACGCTTGCAACTGCCTACGTACGTATGATTTATGATTGATTGTTGAATAATATATATATATATATTATAAACTTATTTTTTATAGTTAAGTTGTCCAACATTTATGATTTTATTTGGCAACCTAAAATTGCACGAATATTTATTTAAATGTTGTGTTTATGTTTATTTAAATCATACCAATATCTGGAAAATGTATTTTTTTATCGTTAGTAGATGTTGAAAATCTGAAAATCCGATTGATTTATGATAAAAACGAATTAGATAATTTAATTAGTTATAATATATATTATGACTTAGATAGTTGGATTAGATATAAATAAACCTTATTTTTATGTTATTTTAAAGGGCGGTGGTAAACTCTCCCGATTGTATGGTAAAGTCTCCCGATTTTTWAAACTAGTAAACTCTCCCGATGGTAAACTCTCCCGGGTWAATATTATGTTTACCTGAAAGAAATGTGTAAACTCTCCCGGGTCAATATTATGTTTACCTGAAAGAAATGTGCAAACTCTCCCGAGTCTCTATGAATTGGCTACACTGCAGAGATTGTGATTATACTTTTTATTATGAAATGTATTACCCATAGACATATTAATAATAAATGGACTGATCGTAGAAAGAGAGGTCCGTATACCAACATTGTTACCTAGAAAGAGATAGCATACAACTTAAGACGATCATAAAAGAATAAATTACATAGCATGGAGTAAAAAACCGACTCTGAACGGAGATGATTTATTTTGTCAGATTCTAAAAACATTGTAATCAATTTAAAACCTTTTAGGTAGATAACAAAAATTAAAAATATCAATAAATTTTTTTTCAATTTTGTGTATTTGAGTTTTTAAAATATAATAAATATATAAGGTA